AAACAGCGAAACAATGATTAATTTGTGCTAGCTATTTACCATTTTGCGAAACAGAAGAAGGGGAAAGAACCTAAAATCATTTTCCGAAAAGTTAAAAACAAAAAGAACTTTCGATGGTTTATTAGAAAATTACAAAATATATTATACACTGTATCTTATTATTGAATGAATAATTAATTCAAATTAATTTTAAATAGAAAGGTTTAGGTTTTTAGGTAGTTAGACTTGGAATATTTTTTGTAATAGACATTTTCTATATATACACATTAGAAAAATAATGACTGTAAATAAAATAGTGAACTTTATACATGAAAATTAATGACTCGCAGCATGGACTTGAGACCCGTGACCCGCACCAGACCCGTGACCCGCACAAGACCCGTGACCCGCACGAGACATGTAACCCACACCAGACACGTGACCCACAACAGACCAAAACAATTTTTGTTCTTTTAAAACAAGTACAACAACATCAACAAATTTGACATACTTCAATGTATAAGAAATAAATAGATATGCTTTTAAAACCCTTTTTAACAGGTCTTCTTTTAAAGGGGTACATTTGCTGGTGGGGGGTGGGAGGTGTGGTGGCTGTATTTACGAGTCTGACAAAATATGACTAAATCTTTTCTTCTTAGTCGCTGCTTTTCTCTTCCTTGTCTCAGTATTCTCTTCTCTGGTGTGTTGCTAAAGTAGGCTCGTTAGCTGGGGACAGCCACTCTTCTAGGAGAGACAACTCCAAAATCAAACAACTGCTGCCTTGTATATCGTTCTTGGTTGAACAAAGGCTCTGGAAGCAAATCCAAAATGAAAAGCAGGCTGAAATCGGAGTCAATGGCCTCAATGGCGCATAACCAGTTGACACGTAATCCTTAATTGTGATGGAAGCATGGTCGAGTCGGCAAAGCTCGTGGTTGATAAATTCGAAAAAAAACCCTCTGGCAGATAAGGCTCGATCCCTTCCAACACTAAAAAATTAAGAACGAAGAAGAAGAAGAAGAAGCTTAGTTGTGTTTTTCCGTTCTGTCACGTTAAGGCTTTCGGACGAGAAGTACCATGTGTCTCCTCGTCCGTAGTTCATTAGCAATATTTGGTGTGAGCTGATCAGTTTGCGGATGATGTATCCACGCAGATTAGCTTGACCATTAGCTTGAATAACCACCTGCATAACTGTAGCTGGTGTTGGTTGGGTCGAGAAAAGATCTGGGCTTTCATCTTCAGGCAGTTTAACATAGAGGGTTGTTGAGTTTGCGGCATCTGAAAAGGGTTGGGCCCTTGCTTTCATTTAGCCACTCGGACGGTCCACACACACACACACACATACATACACACGCACAGACATACGGACAAGATTGCAAAACTATGTTTTTTGACGCAAGCGGCTGTAGAACGTCGAGATTTCCAAAAAAAGACTTTCTCTATAGCCTACTTCGTATATACGAGAAAGTAAAAATTAACAGAGATTACCTTTGCATTGTTTGACTGACTGTATTTTTGTATTTTTAACGATTCTATTAAACATTAAAGTAAGTTTTCTCCCCTATTCATCAGTTTTCACAAATGAAAAGTAACTTCCACAGTTTGATATTGTAAAATTATTTTAATCAATACTAATAGTTTCGCTGTCTGTGTATGTATGTATCTATCTGACAAGAACGCTCTGTCTGACAAGAACGCTCTAGAGAAAACATAAGGAAATTAAAATCATGCATAGTGAAACGGAAGCGAAATATATGACGTCGTATAGTAGAAAATAATATCAAGCCGGAGAGTGCACACAGTAATATGACGTCATTGATTCCCGAGTAAACATTGAATAAAAAGGAAATTTTGTCTAATCTAAGTGGTTTGCGTGAAGAGTTTCTTTCATACAATTCTTCGGGTAGGGGCGAAGCCCCACCCCCGCGTAAGAACGTCTGAGCCCCCCCCTCCCCAACTCAAAAGAAATTTCTTCATCGATACTCTATAATAAAATTACCGCCTAATTAATGTGTCTAATCTAAAAAGTGGTTTTCTTGCAATTTCTTTAATGCAATTCTTCGGGTAGTGGCTAAGCGCGACACCAGTGTTTCTTTCAGACTTTTTCCTCCCCGGAGAGGGGTGGGGGTACTTGAAATTTTCGGTGGCGGGGGTAGAATTTTCGTGGAGGGGGCGGACACTGGAAAAAGTATATAATTATATTTCGTTGAATGGGACGGTAGACATGTTTTTTAGGGGGGGGTGGGGGGTGTGGGGGGGGGGTGTGGGGGGTGGTTAATTTAGACTTTTTCCTCCCCGGAGAGGGGTGGGGGTACTTGAAATTTTCGGTGGCGGGGGTAGAATTTTTGGGGAGGGGGCGGACACTGGAAAAAGTATATAATTATATTTCGTTGAATGGGACGGTAGACATGTTTTTTTTGGGGGTGGGGGTGGGGGGTGTGGGGGTGGTTTTAGTTTAGAGAAAAGAGACAGCACTATCAGCCTAGCGCCCGTTGTATCCTCCCTAAACGGGCCATTTTTCTCGTTCTATGTTTTTGCAGTGTGTTTGCACCAACAAAACAATGACGTAGTATAGTAATAAATATCTGTAGAACTTTAGATTACCGACTTGTTCGTTCATTACATGGTTTTTATGTTGTGTTCACATGTAAGCCTACGTTAGCTGAATTTAGTAAACAAGTTGTAAAATATTTTTTTTGTAACATGCTGACCCACATTAAATCAAAAAGTGTAGTTGGTCTAAACTACGTTTGAATTGTGATGCTTTATAGATGGGGCTTTAGCTTCAAACTTGTAGCTTTTGACTAGGTTTAATATTATAGTAGAAGTTTTTAATTTATTTTTCACCAAATAAGTTTGTATAGAAAGTTAACTGGGATGAATAAAATAATGTCAAACAATTAAACTAGAAGTTTTTAATTTATTTTTCACCAAATAAGTTTGTATAGAAAAATAACTGGGATGAATAAAATAATGTCAAACAATTGAAGTAGCAGTTTTTAATTTATTTTTCACCAAATAAGTTTGTATAGAAAGTTAACTGCATCATTTTACTGATCAGAACAGAAGCTTAAGTACAAAGCAAGCATTAGTCAATGAAACAATAATGAGCAAAATGTTTATACATCTTTATGCTATTAATTTTATGCTATTAGTAGAAATATAATTTATCCAGGTACTAAATTACCATTTAAATTTTAATCTCAATTCAATTGACAATAGTATCTGCATTAGTGATGACAATAAATACATCTCAAAAACAAATTTAGGAAAAAAATAATTTTTTTTTGGGGCAGCTAGTTTTTATATATGGTCTGTGTGAGTTATACACTGCAGCCAATACAGTTTGATTATATGATTGGAGATTATATAGCTCTCAATATAATGATTAAGGACATTTAGTAAAAGGTGTAAAAGTGTTTATAAAAAAAGATTGTCTGCTCAGAAGTTTTGATGTAACTGTACCTGTTGACCAGATGCCAGGGTAACTGCCGGCCTGATGTCATTGTACTTGTCTAATGGAGGTTGTTTTATCTGTCAACCTGATATTCTGTCTTGTCGCTGTATGTCTGACTGAGCTGCTTGTGAGTAGTGTAAATGTGTAAAGTTAAGAAAGAGAATTGTGTAACAGTAAGGCCTACATATATTGTAAACATCTAGTAAATGTAAAAAATATGAATAGAACTTTGTGTTTTATTTTAGTTAGCTTCTGTTATTGTTAATAATGTGTGTAATTGGTTTGAGCATATTATTATTAAGTTCACTTCCTCGTCCCAATGAATGTACATTGTCAAATTTATTTAATTTGAAAAGAATAGGCAAATTAACTGTGTTGCCTGAACAAGACCATGCAGGTATAAAAATAAAACCCTGGGTCTCTAAACTCTAAAGTGATAGCTTACTTCTTCTATCATACATATTTACAATTAACACAAAAAGAAGTAAGCTACATAAAGAAAAATTTGTACACATGCAGCTGACATAATAGAATGCCATTTCCTTTTACAGTCAGAATACAATTTCTTTTTAGAGTATGTATAATAATTGACAAGGTATACTCTTTGACAAAACAACCTTTTCATAATACAAATATTAAAATTAATAAACTATGGCCCACTATTGGATGACCACTAGATAAAGTTATGTGAAGAGAAAAAATTATAACAAGATATTCAATAATAATTTGCTCTAGAATTAATTACTTATGTTAAAAATGACAATAAATTGTTTTTTTAGTCATGATGAATTTCCTGGCTTGCTGCTAGAATGAATTTTCTTATGAGTATTTAAATTAGATATTTGACAAAATCTGTTGTGACAAACATGACATTCATGTGGCTTGGCAGTCTGTCTAGATCGAAACGCCCGTGTGAAATTGCAGGCACTTCTAACTGACAGATACGGTTCGTAGTTGGTACGTGGGTCAAGACATGAAGACAATGCATTGTGACATTCAATTTGACTTAATTGGTCGCCTAATTAATTTTTTATGAATGAATTAAAATTTGGACCAAATTAGTAGGCAGTTCTATCCACACACGTCATCACGGCTGTGTTGGGCGTGGAGCAAGGTGGGCTCTACGACAAAAGCGCGTCATCACATTCAATAGGCGCGCGATGGTTTTTAGACAGGTCAGCAGTCTAGTTCTTTACCACTAGACTACGCCATCCGATAATACTATACTGAAACTTTAGCTATAAACTTGACAATGGTTTTTAGTCATGTAACCATTATAAATAAAACATGTGAAGTACTGAAAAAAATATTCATAAAAAATAGTTTTAATAACAAGCTTTTATGTAATAATGCACTAAAAAGTAGAAAATAAATTATACACTACTATTTAAATAACTATAAAGAAAAGCGTGGGTCTCTTCTCAAATATTAGTAAAGATATCCAAAGGTACTTAAGTGACCCACGCTTTTCTTTATAGTTATTTAAATAGTAGTGTATAATTTATTTTCTACTTCTTAGTGCATTATTACATAAAAACGTTTTTTTACGAATTTTTTTTTAATGTTAAACTAGAATAGTGAGTAAATTGGTTATGACAAACATTACATTCATGATTTAAGTAGCCTTTTTTCCTAAATGAACCTTTATATGTCTTTTTAAAACAGAACTTCGAGAAAACCTTTTAAGACAAACATCACATTCATGGGGCATTACTCCCGAATGAACCTTTTTATGTCTTTTTAAACTAGAACTTAGAAAAAATCTTTTATGACAAACATCACATTCATTTGGCTTATCTCCTGAATGCACTATTTTATGTGTAGCTAAACTTGAATTTTGAGAAAACTTTTTATGACAAACATCACATTCATATGGCTTATCTCCTAAATGAATATTTTTATGTCTTTTAAAATTATAACTTTGAGAAAACTTTTTATGACAAACATCACATTCATATGGCTTATTGTCCGAGTGCCCTTTAATATGTGCATATAATCTACATCTTTGAGAGAACCTTTTATTACAAACATCACATTTATGTGGCTTTTCTCCTGAATGAATTCTCTTGTGTGTACTTAAACCAGAACTTTGAGTATACCTTTTATGACAAACATTACATTCATATGACTTATCTCCTGTATGAAGATTTCTGTGTTGTAATAAACTTATCTTCTGACCAAACTTTTTATGACAAACATCACATTCATGTGGCTTATCTCCTGAATGAACTTTTTTATGTGCAGTTAAATTAGATTTAGATGCAAACTGTTTAAGACAAACATCACATTCATGTGGCTTATCTCCTGAATGAACTTTTTTATGTGTAGTTAAATGAGAATTTTGAGAAAACTTTTTATGACAAACATCACATTCATATGGCTTATCACCTGAGTGCCCTTTAATATGTGCATATAATCGACATCTTTGAGAGAACCTTTTATTACAAACATCACATATATATGGCTTATCTCTTGAGTGCACTTTTGTATTGTTACTACAACTTTGAGAAAGATTCTCATGGTCACCATCATATTCAACTTGCTTATTTCCTTCTTGACCTGTTTTATGCTTATTTAAGTTAGAACTTTGAGAAAACCTTTTGTGTTTGAGACTAGAAACAATCTGATATCTTTTGTCTCTAGAAAACTGGAGATTTTTTTCAACGTGAAGTTCAAGCCCTTTTTGTTGTTTATCCTCAAAAAAAATAAATCCTGTCAATAAATCTGGTTTTGAATCTTTACTACTTGATAAAGCTGTGACTTCTGATTTGTTATCTTTAGATGTTGATAATGTTGATTCAGCAGGCTTTTTATCTTTACAAATTAAAAACGCAGTTGTAACATCAGGTTTAACATCTTGCAAGCTTATAAATGTTTTGTTGGGTGTTTCTGTGTCTTTAGAAGATGAAAATTCTGTTGTAGTATAGGGTTTAACATCTTGAGAAGCTGTGAATGTCATATTGGGTTTTGCATCAACAATAGATGAAAATGTTGATAGATCTGGTTTCATATCTTCAGAGTTTAAAAATTCTGTTAATTTGTGTGACTGTTCATCTACAATAGATAAAATTGCAGCTAAATGTTCTGTTTCTTCTTCCATTCTTGACTGCTTTTTATAAATCTGATGATTAAAAATGTTATAAATGTTAAAGTGAAAAGTAGTGATTATAAAGTCAAAATAAAATATTATTATTAAAATGGCAAAATTAATGGCAGAAGGTCTGTTAATCTTTTCACTCAGTCTGATGTGATCTAAAAACAGATTACCAGTAATGCCAAGGCTATCATTAGATTAGGACTGCATATTAATATTCTTTAAATATTCTTAAAAAACACAAATTTATAAACCAGTATTGCTTATTTTGGCTAACGATTGAGGAATTACCAAATAAGTTTAGATCCTCTCACATTCAGCTAAAATTCTTAATATTAGTATTGGAAAAAAAATTAATATTGTTTTCTTAGACTATTTCTAGACCTGATCTTTTAACCTAGTCATTATCCCTCAACCCTTGACCCTAACCTAAGATATAATGCATTAAAGAAATAAAATATAAATGTCATTTGCACTAATAAAAAAAAAATCAATTAAAACAGGTTTCAAGTGCAAAACCCATACTAGATATTTCTTCAGACTAGCGATTCTACCATGCAGTGCTCGAAATAATTAGTAAAAATAATAATAATATATTAAATTAAACAAACCTCTCTTGAAAATTGTAAAATATATTCACTTTAATTGAAAAATTCTAAAAATATGTAAGCCTACAAATAGAAGCAAAATATAACCACAAGATGTGAGAGGACATAAGAATGATGTATTTTCTCTATTGTTGGTTGCTATAAAATAAGTGTTTCCATATAATATAATACTTTATTCATGTATCTAAAAAAAAAATCCAGTAACTCCTAAAAATATATTTGCATGGCCGACGGCCATGTGCTCTGTCTTTTTTGTGCTTTATAACAAGGTATTTTAGGTGCGCAAACAATTGAGCAAAAAAAATTAAACATATCTTCCTATTTGTTCCCCATTTATCAACCATAGATGATTTTTCTAGGCCTATAAGTTGTTAAAAAAATGTTGCTGCCACAAATTGTAGTCTACATTTAGTGACTTTTCAATTGTCATTGTCCGCTTGGAACATGTTTGCAAAAAAAATGATTCTGTAATTCAATTACTTACATTCAACTATTGCATGTATAAATTGTTTTTCAAGTTAGAGACTAAAGAGTAAAGGCCAAGGCTATTCCCAGCTGGTTGGGAATAGCACTATTTGTGTTATTTCCAGCAGACTAGGAATAGCACCCACGGCTATTTACAGTCAGCTGTCATTTTTGCTATATACGACTGGGAATAGGCCAAATATTTTACAATAATAAAAGCATTTATTGTGACTGGGGAATGAAGTATAGATTACGAGAGCAGTGCAATTTTTACTTTCTGGTATATATATAAAGTATAGAGAAAGCCTTGTAACCGTGCAAAAAAAAAAAAACAAGATTTTTACAAATCTCGACGTTTTACACCTCACTGACATGGAAAAACATAATTTTGCAGTATGTATGTGTGTCTGTCTGTCTGGGCGTAAACACGATAACTTGAGTACCGTTACAGCTAGGTTGATGAAATTTCATATATAAGTATTTTATGAAAATCGTAGATCCTGATCAACTTTTGAGCGATTTTCGATAACCGGAAGTGGTACTTTTTCTACTTTGAATTTTTAAAAAGCCTATAACTTGAGTACTATTTCAGATAGATAAATGAAATTTCACATGTAAGTAAAAGATCTAATTCTCTAACTTCTGTCAAATTTTGAGTAATTTCCGTTGACCGGAAGTGCTAATTTACACTATTTCCGATTTCTCAAAAAACGCACATAAATTTATAAAGTACTAATAATATCCCGCACTATTATGCACATTTTATTTGGCGTTCACTTGGTGTGCAATTATTTTTTTTTTACGAGATTCCTTTCTATTATAAAAAGTTTGAGTAATTAAAAATGGATTACAAATATTGTCTATGTCCTGAGTTGCCATACCTCGTAGGTTTATATTAGAATATTTGAGAAAGTTTAGGGGAGATCACTCCCGGTTAACTATTGTGTTATAGTTTTATAAAAAAAATCTATTCTAGATATAATATCTTATTATCTACTAGATCTATCTAGTATCTAGATCTAGTTACTATAACTATAATAATAGTTTTAGTAGGCCTACCATAATACTAGATTTATTAGTAAATAGTCTATACTATTATTACTATTAGTTACTAGATCGAGATCTAGAATAGATTCTATCTAGCAGTACCAATCTACGGTAAAACTCCATTTTAGCTTATGTTATTCCCCCGCTTCAAGTTCACCTCCAGTTGAGCGTATTTTATTATAAACACAACCGAAACGCATAAAAACGTTAGGAAAACACTAGATCTACTTATTTTTTTATGAATGTGATTTTTAATTAGAAAAGGTAAAAAAAAAAACATAAAAAAAAAACAGAACTGTTCCAATTAAATATCGTGTGATCGTCAGTGGGAGAAAAATCCTTATACGATCGTGATTTCACCGTGAGTTTACATTGACTTTAATTAGCATGCGGCATAGCTCGGGCAATAGCTGTTTGAAATTGTGTTGGCCTTAGTTTTGGGGTCATTGTAAGTTCATAAATGTTTATATAGGGCCTATAGTATCATGCCTCGGAGATATATGTAACAATACAAATTTAACCGCCTTGCAATTGTGAGTTACGTTTACATACTTCACCCCTTGCCCCATGCAAATTCTAACTGACACACGAACATAGCACATTCAATATTCTAAATTTGGATTTTTCTCAAGTTTTGACAAAAGTAAAAGATCAGAATCTAAAACAAAGTCAGTCTCATTGTTTTTTTTATTCATTTGTTAAAACAAAAATACAATACAAATAAATAAATCATGTTTTCCTATTGTTTTTGTGTGTTTCGGTTATTATAATAAAATACCCTCAACTGGAGGTAAACAAGCAGCGGAGAATAAAATACGCTAAAATGGAGTTTTACCCCAATCTACTACTACTACTAGTTTTTCTTACTATATGTGAAATCTACTCAATTCTCAATTTAAACATGACAACTGAATAAAAAACGTCCATACTTTATCCTCTAGGCACTAATTTTGGGGGTTGTAGTGAGTTTAGACGAAATTATTGAATTTTAAATTTTTTTGTCACTCACAGCTATTTTTAGAGGAAAAAATATTTAAGAGAATGTCATCAGAAAAGAATTAAAAAAAAGACAAGACAGAAGTGATTTTTGAATTCTTTTATTTCTTTAATTTTATAACATTTTTTATTGTACAAAAGAGCAAAATAAAAAACCATGCCAGGTAAACGTATCCATTCAAATAGCGGTCACGTGGTCAAAAAAAATAAAAAAAATTTGGTTGTCATTTTTTGGACACTCATATAAAAAAAAGTGTTGAAGATATTTGATTTATTTTTTCATAGAATTATAAAACTAATAATGCTTTACTTTGGAAATCAATTTTGTGATATGGAGATCTATATTTAAAAAGTTATATTATTTTGAATGACACCGACTTTAAATTATAAAACTAATAATGCTTTACTTTGGAAATCAATTTTGTGATATGGAGATCTATATTTAAAAAGTTATATTATTTTGAATGACACCAACTTTAAATTTAGCCTACATTCTCCAAAGCAATTTTTGAAAATGCTTTTCTGGCATATTTCGACTTGCCACCTATAGCATGTTTTTATAACGTGAAAACCTGCCATTTTGCTCGTGGTAAACATTTATAAAAGTAATTCCAAGGAGGTCTCTGGAACTAAGTCGAAAAACTCGCCGGAAGTCATGGTCCGATCCTTACGCCATTTTCTGGTTAGCAACCTAGGACGCTTTCAAGTTAGTGAGCCTCGCTACTACTACCATACGCCATACACCTAACATTTCGGTAATCTATCATTTAAGGTACGTAAAATCGCCTGCGACTAGATTCTAGATCTAGAATGATCTAGATCTAAATCTAGTAATTCTAGTAACTTAGTCTAGATCTAGATCTAGATGTGATAAACAGGTGACTCGGTAATCTATTGTTTTGGGTACGTAAAATCGCCCGCGACTAGTAATGTGAAAAACAGGTGACTCCTTAAATTTTAATCATTATTTCACATTTTGAGGAGGATTTATGTTTTGAAAAATACAAAAATGTTCCTTTGTTTCAATTATGTACCTGTTTTCAAACAATTGAATTAAAACTTTTCAGTAATAAATGAAGACTAGCGATGTTTCCAACAGATGCAACCATGCTCATTTACTATAGCAGCCATCTTGTTTAAGTTTTTTTTTTGTAAACTTATAGTGGATATAGCACAAGATTCAGGGGGAAGCCACTCTATTTTACAAATGGCTGCTGTTTATATAGCAAATCTTGCTCGCAAACACGGCTGTTTAAAGTTAATTTCTGGCATATATTGATATATTTAGCCATTGATTTAGGTTTATTATTTATTTATCTATAACATTTGACACAAATATATCACAATATACTCCTATTAAAGCCTTGACAATGAGGTAACTTTTTGGTAATCTATTGTTTTGGGTACGTAAAATCGCCCGCGACTAGTAATGTGAAAAACAGGTGACTCCTTAAATTTTAATAATGATTTCACATTTTGAGGAGGATTTATGTTTTGTAAAATACAAACATGTTTCCTTCTTTCATTTATGTACCTGTTTTTAAACAATTGAATTAAAACTTTTCAGTAATAAATGAAGACTAGCAATGTTTCCAACAGATGCAACCATCACCATGCTCATTTACTATATAGCAGCCATCTTGTTAAAGTTATATTTTTATAGACTTATAGCGGGAGATTCAGGCGGAAGTCACTCTATTTTACAAATGGCTGCTGTTTATATAGCAAATCTTGCTTGCAGACACTGCTGTAGTTTAAAGTTAATTTCTGAATTAAAATATATTTTTATTTAGCCATTGATTTAGGTTTATTATTCATTTATTTATATTTGACACAAACATATGACAATATACTTCTATTAAAGCCTTGACAATGAGTTGAATGAGGTAACGTTTTCGTACATTAAT